GTGACTGAACCTGGCTGGAGAACCTAGCGAGAGAACATGGCTACAGAACCTGGCTGGAGAACCTGGAGAACCTGGCTGGAGAACCTAGCAAGAGAACATGGACACAGAACTTGTCTGGAGATTGTGGCTAGAGATCCTGGCAAGGCTGCTGACCAACTGAATGCTGTCTCCGTGTCATTCCTTCTTCGCCGACTCCGTCCACACGTTTGGGGACCCCTGGACCTGCTGGGGTTGGACCCCAGCATACAATAACAGAATTACGCTCGTTCTATTTCAGTACATTTTCTTTGTGATATGGACCTGTGGAACTAATTTGATAGAATTTACCATAAAACTTGAGATCACTGTTGGGGAACAAAATTAGTATTTCAGCCTTTTTTAAAGAATATTCAAATCACTACTTAAGAATAAGTATTCTTATGTTGTTGATTCCATCGGAATTGCTTTTACTCTCCCAGTTTCAAGACAAACAATCAATCAGTAAGCCTACCAATTGGGTTTGTGTTCTAATTTTTTAAAATCTTACTTGAATTCCAAATTTAGATGGTAGGACATAGTGTCTAAAGCCCGAGAAATGTCGAATTTCATGCTAATGCTCAAATGCCCATTTTTTACATTGCCCTAATTTTCTGTAAGGTTAAGGCCATTTGATTAGTTGAGGACCTATATCCAACCCTCTAAGTTGCCCTAATTTTCTGTAAGGTTAAGGCCATTTGTTGAGGACCTATATCCAACCCTCTAAAATTTTTCTGAGTTTGTGTTTTTGCTGCAGAGATTTAATCTCTCCCAAATATCTGTCAAAAATATTTTCACACTTTCAGAAGTACTTGATATTTTTAGAAAAGGTAATCAAGCAATCGGAACTTTTAAAACCATGTAGCTTTTGTTGTTCTTTCCAATATTATAACACTTTTCTTGCTTCTATCATTATAGACTAGTTCAGGAGAATGCCATTTTAAAAATTATCAAAGAATGTGCACATCAGAAAAGAAAAAAGATGCAATGGAGGCCCTAAGAGACATATATAAATTCTTTTCGAGGACTGATAAGAGGCTATTGGTAAGTTTCAGTTTTTCATTGTTTTTGTTTTCCAACATACAGAACTGAAATGCTTAAAGTCAATGGGTTTGAGCTGTCAGTTGGGTTAGGAGAGAAACAAGTAATATTCTTGCATGTGAGGAACAGACATGACTGGAAATTTGAGATAGACCCAGGGTTAACTATATTCATTTTAATTATTTGTCTGACAAATGCCCATTCTGTGCCAGCCAGCCATTTCTCCATACCCCCTTAATCTCATTTCACAAAGGCTACTCAAAAGAACTTTGACTCTTTTCAGTTAATTGAATTTATGAGGAAAAAAAAAACAAGCAATCATAGCATTCAAATTATTCAACTTTTATAATAAACAGAGAATATCCAACTTGGCAAGATTCTGATTAGAAGTCTTTCTTTTTAACATCTATCCCAGACGGTTAGGTTCGTAAGAACACATGCTCCAGTTCAAATACTTTGTTTTATAAAACAAACATTTGTTTAAATTGTTTAAAGTAAGATTTTTAAAATGCCACTAACAAAAACAGATCTTTAATTCCATGTAAATTATTTTAGCCATTTTCTAAAAAACGTTGAAATTTTAATGTAGCTTTTTGGTATTCTTTCAAGTACTGCACAAAACCTGATCTACATTGTTTGAATTTCTCATGCAATTTTGGAAAAATGGAAAATGGGAAAGAAGCCAGTGTTCACATTCAGCTGGAAGGCCGGCCATCCGTCTTAGAAATGGTAAGTCCATACAGGATCTGCAAACTATATCTAAGTAGGATGGTATTTAGCAGTGATGGCGAACCTTTTGAGCTCGGCGTGTCAGCATTTTGAAAAACCCTAACTTAACTCTGGTGCCGTGTCACATACAGAAATTTTTTTGATATTTGCAACCATAGTAAAAAAAAAAAAGATATTTTTGATATTTATTTTATATATTTAAATGCCACTTAACAAAGAAAAATCAACCAAAAAAATGAGTTCGCGTGTCACCTCTGACACGCGTGTCATAGGTTCGCCATCACAGGTATATAGGGAAGCATTCAACAAATAAAATTTAGAGTGAAACTTAACTGTTTCAGTTTTTTTCTTTATTGATTAAGGTATTACATATGTGTCCTTATCCCCCATTTCCTCCCCCCTACTCCCTTACCCCCCTCCCCCGGTGTCTGTGTCCATTGGTTATCCTTATATACATGCATACAAGTCCTTTGGTTGAGGTTGATCGCTCCCCTTTTACTTTAGCTGAATACATTGTCTAAATGACATGGTTTTTAGTAATTAAATAGGTAATTAAGATGAAACATCGATGAGAGAGAAACATCGACCAGCTGCCTCCTGCACATCTCCCCCCGGGGATGTGCCCGCAACCAAGGTACATGCCCTTGACCGGAATCGAACCTGGGACCTCTCAGTCTTCAGGCCGACGCTCTATCCACTGAGCCAAACCGGTTTCGGCTGTTCAACTATTTTTAGACCTTGATTAAATCAAAGAAATTGACTGCCTTAACATTTTGTATAACCTTAAAGTTCTTTCCAAACTATTTTAAATTATGCTTAAAATCTAATATTTAATAAAGCTAAAAAGTAAAATTGTCTTTAAAACACAATAACAAAAAACTTTTTAAGACCTTCAAGAATATATTCTCATCTTCCCCAATGAATGCACATACTTAAAAAAACACCTCAATTTTGCATACAATTTCAAAAGTCCTTAGTGTCTGGGGATTCTGGCTTATAAGTCTCTGTATTAAATAGTAAAGTTCTCTGAGTTCATCAACCTACTGATTTGATATCTGAATGCTATAACTTATTGTACCAGATTTTTCCATTACAGTATTAGGTAGACTATGTGTATTTGATCAGAGCAGCACAACTTAGAAAGAAATAAAAAGAAGCCCAAATAAAATGAATTTTAGGAAAGGTTTATCAAGTGGAGAAAGTCTTATTTTGGGGTTAAAAATTCAATACCCAGGGGGAAATACACTACAAACACATAATATTTAAATTAAGTTATCTGCAAAGTGGCTATGCTTAATAAAAAAAAAATTTCAATAAGCCCTGACTGGTTTGGCTCAGTGGATAGAGCATTGGCCTGCGGACTGAAGGGTCCCAGGTTCGATTCCGGTCAAGGGCATGTACCTTGGTTGCGGGCACATCCCCAGTAGGGAGTGTACAGGAAGCAGCTGAATCGATGTTTCTCTTTCATCGATGTTTCTAACTCTCTATCCCTCTCCTTCTCCCTTCCTCTCTGTAAAAAAAAAAATCAATAAAATATATTTAAAAATTTTTTTTCAACAAAATGGTGCCATATAAATTAATACCAAGACCATGCCTTTATAATCAAAATAAGCATTGCAATTAATTACAAATGGTGAAGTAAATTGTGGAAGATTAATTATGAAACTTCTAGATAGTAGGTAAGGGTCATGAGAAGTTCTGTTAATATGTCTTCATAAAATAACACTATGAATCAATAGAGATCTTTCGCTTATTAAACAGGATGAGACTTCAGCACTCAAGTTTGAAATAAGAGCAACAGCTTTTCCAGAGCCACATCCAAAAATTATTGAACTAAACAAGGATGGCAATGTTGCACATGTAAGTTAAGTTAAACTGAAACATTAAGACTGGAGGAAAAATAGTATTGCTAGGGTGTTTAGTCAGGAAAATAGATTTTTTTTTTTTACTAGATCATGGAGGGCTAGAGATACTTTTCTGAGAGTTGGTATTTTCCACACCTGGAAAGAGGGAATGACAGCTTTTTAAGGAGTTTAGGATGGATTGGAGGAAGAACCACAGGAAAAGTCCATTGTACTTACTGTTTACTGTTTCTGATCAGGAACCAGCAAGAGAATGGGGTGGGTTGTTCTAAATACTATTGGGGATTGAGGAGGGGCTGCAAAGGAAACAAGCAAACTTTTAAACTGGTGCTTCTTTATGTTGGTTAATATGTAGGTTTGGCTCGAAGGACTACATCATCAAAGACCCACACGTCATCTGACCATAGCAATTATTTCAAGTAGCTTGATACTTGGACTGATTTTACTTTTGTTGATTTCATATGTTATGTGGAAGGTAAGCCTTTCTTTAATAATTACCGATGTTAACCCACTCAAAATGCCACCCTTGACTTTCGTAAAGCCAATTTGTGCCTCCCAAGTGAATAGGCAGTACTGATTTCACCATATGTCTCCTAACTCAATTAGCCTATGAAATATTTGGTTTTGTTATATGTTGTTTTACTTAGTCATAGAAAGTATCACCGATGTTAACTTGCCATTGACTGTCTAGATATTTTATATGAGTGTAACAACTGCACACTAGTGATTATACAATGATTTTTTTTTTTCAGGCTGGCTTCTTTAAAAGACAGTACAAATCCATCCTACAAGAAGAAAACAGAAGAGACAGTTGGAATTACATTAACAGTAAAAGCAATGATGAGGATGATGATTAAAGATTTCTTTTAAATTGAGAAAACTAAGACTCAGGTATATAATAAAGAAATTTAAGACATTGTTTACAAGAAACCATGAACTTTGCTTTGCCCAGAGTTCTTTTATGTACTTTTTACTCATGACCTTGTGACATACTATGTCTTGAGGCAAATGAAAAAGGTATTGTTTCAGTTATTAAATGGATATAAAACACTAAAACATTTAAGATAAATAATCCCTTGAAGGTATTTGGAAATAAAAGTGCATCTGAATTAAATCATAAAACTTGACTGAAGAAGTCTTGGACTTCAACATATATGCTTGCTTCAGCAAAATAAATTCCTAATCTTTGAGACTTGTTTGAATTATGTTCTTTAAAAATATTTAGCAGAATTTTTCAAAGAGCTGTTTCCTAATGAATGAAACAGCTCTTTGAAAAAATTCTGCTAAATATTTTTAAAGAAAGCATTTTACCTTTAAGCCCTTTACTTGTAATATATTTCCTATGGGCTTTGATCAACAACCATTCAGCAGTCTATGACTAATGGGCCTGAAGAGCAAACTTCAGACTAAACTTTTATACACTGGTTTGAGCTTAATGGGATGACTTCTGGGTAATTATTGTTTATACAACTATGGATTTCTTTCTTCTTTCTGTACATACATAACTTTGAAATATACATATATGTTCACATAGGTAGAAATCCATAAGCCTCTCCTGTAACAATTTTTTCAAGGGTACCCGAGTAAATTTTAAAAATCTATCATTAGTCAATTTTCTTGTTTACAAAACAACAGTACTTAAAATTCTAATTTATATTCTGAAACAGATTGTGAATGTTGCACTTTAACTGGTATATGTAAAATATGAAAACTATACCTCACAAATAATTTTTTAAAATCAAAGCTCTGTAAAAACAGTGATTAAGGAGAACTCTATCATACTGATACTCTGTAAATAGTAACTGGATATTACCCTTTTCTAGTCAAATGTAAGTGTTAAATGCTTATAAGGTCAGTCTCTTCTGCATGGAAATGGGGAAACATAATTTATAATTTTAAAATAGATTTAGCTTATATCCAGTGAATATAAATATAACATCAAAATTTCCATGGTATATGTTTTAGTGATCAGTGAAACATTTTAAATTTTTATTGGTTATCTTAGATTCCTTTTTATAATTATATAATTTATATTTTAAAATTTTAAGACATTTAAAGATAATCTTTTGTATTATTTATTCATACATATGAACTAGATTTTTCGGTGGCCAAATTTTGAAAATCTGTTACAAGATGTGATCAAATAGATAAATTAGAGGTCAGTCTTTACTATTATGGAAAATATTCCATAGGAAATATTTATAGGAAGTCCCTGCCAAAAGCCATCTTCCTCAGACTACCTAGTTGCTGTATAAGTTATCCATCACAAGCCTACAGTCTGTGATTGGTGGAAAGTGCGGAATGCACAGAGATGCATGAACATGAAACCTCCTGTGAACTCTGTGTGCCAATACAATCTGTTTAAAGTATACTTTTTTGAATAGAAGCTATTCAGGAAAATGCATAGAATCACTGGCGGAAAATGAAGCCCAAATTTATTATTTCTTTCTCAAGGATGATCCCTGAGGAAACTTAAATTTGGTTCTGTCCTATTCAGAAATGACAGCATTTCAGGTGCTATTGAAAACAGTGTTATAATGGTCAGAGCATATGACTGTCAGGAGCAAGAGAGCACAGCTCCCTAATGGGCCAGATTCTGCCCAGTTAGATATTTTGCATAGTTTAAAATAAAATTTAATAAACTATGAATTTTAAAACCCTACCACTTTGAAGTAGGAAAATCAACTTGCATTTTCAACTTTCAGAGAATATTCACAAAATTGGTACCATAACAACTTAAAAATAAGGAGAGGTTCTTTTGGGGGAAGTTGTTTAGTTATTAGATAAGTTTTGAAAATAGTAGTTCTATTTCTGGTTAGATTGAGTTGTATAATTTTGAAATGTAACCTCACTGGACAAGTACCTCATTAGGAAAATCAGGGCATTCTGACATGAACTCTGGTCTATTCGTACCAGACTACAGGTTATTTAACAACAGAATTGATGGTCCTGAAAAATGAAAGAATGCAAATTATTTCACTTTGGAATTACATATCTATGTTAAAAAGTAGATATAAAGACATTCCAAAAAAAAACCCAGAATTTAAATCATTTTTGGTATATTCAAACCCTCAATGCTAATTTTTAGCAATGTCAAAAGTAGCAAACAATTTTAATTTCTTTAAAATATTTTTTTTCCTGTTAGGATATCTGTTTAAAATATGTCCATTCATATTAAAATTTTAGTTCATATGTTTCTGTTATAAACAATTACATGTTACTTTGGAATCATTCATTTCTTCCATGCTTTCACCATAAAGATTGATAAGTCTTGGGTGTAATCTGCAAAGAATAAAATGTGTAATGATTATTTTATCAACCTATCATTCTGTTATTTTTCACACATATACCAATTGAGTACAGTGCTTAATACCAAGTGCAAGTCTAATGATAGCCAACAAAAACATACACATTCATGGCAGAGATGAAATCTAGAGAAACTGGGGCCAGGATGTGTAATAAATCAGCACTGAAAAAGTATAAAGCCTTCTTGACTAATATTCTCCATTGTTTCTATAAAATGCAGCCAATTGTACATATACAGAGCTCACCAGTTGCTCTTATTACTTAATTAAATGATATGTAAATCACATGGAACTGCTGAGTACGAAGTGTTATATAGTATAAGACTAATGGATTAAATTGTAATAATCTGCTACTCAGTGTCACAAGGTTTAAACTTTTGACTCATGTTTTTCAAATTCAAAATGGAAATTGTAGACATGCATTATCTGTATAGTGTAGACTTATAACCAAAGAAAATGTGTAAACTCTCCATAACAATTGATGAATAAATGTAAAGTCATACTTAAATTACATATTTATCTGTTTATCCTTCCCTGATTTGCTAATTTAAAAAGAAATCTAGCCAATTGCTTGCTTTCATTGTATTAGTAGTTCTGTGTCTACTGGTGGACATAGAAGGCAGTGAAATAATTAGACTTACTTAACGTGGACCTCTGATGTAACTTCCATTAAATCACCATCTACATTCCAGGGGAAACTGTTTTCTGAAGCAGTTTCATGTGGTTGATCCTCCTCCTCTAGACTGTGTGCACTTGTTTTATTCCTTGGATAAACTTTTACTTCTTCAACAGTGTAAGTCTCAACGAATGGAAAATTGAACTAAATAAAACAAATGGACCTAAATAGACACTTCTCCAAAGAGGACATACAGATGGCCAATAGACATATGAAAAAAATGTTCAACATCACTAATCATCAAAAAGATGCAAATTAAAATGACAATGAGGTATCATCTCACAACCGCCAGAGTGGCTATCATCAACAAACATCAAGTGCTGGCAAAGATATGGTGAAAAGGGAACCTGATGTCGAGAAAAGAAACCCTCGTGCACTGCTGGTGGGAATGCAGACTGGTATAGCCATTATGGAAAACAGTATGGAGTTCCTCAAAAAATTAAAAATGGAACTGCCATTTGCTCCAGCAATCCCACTTCTGGGAATACATTCTAAGAATCCTGAAATACCCACCAGGAGATGAATAGATAAAAAAGCTGAGGTACATTTACACCATGGAAGAATACTCGGCTACAGGAAGAAAGAATCACTTTCCCTTTGAGACCTTGGGAGGGACCTGGATTGTATCATGCTAAGCAAAATAAGCCCATCAGGGAAAGACAAAGTATCACGTGATCTCACTCATATGTGGAATCTAATGAGCAACAAACTGATCAACAAAATAGATCCAGAGACATAGAAGCATGGAACAGACTGTAGACTCTCAGAGGGAAGGCAGGGGTGAGTGGGTGGGATGAAGTCAACCAACGAACTCATACGCATATATGCATAACCCATGGACACAGACAATAGGGTGACGAAGGTGGGGGGTGGGAGGGGAAGAGGCTAGAAAGGGTCAATGGGGAGGAAAGGGGACATATGTAAATGTAATACTTTCAAGAATAAAGTTTTTTTTAAAGCTGTGGTACATTTACACTATGGAATAAATACTATGTGGCTATAAAAAAAGAAGCTCTTACCCTTTGCAACAGCGTGGATGGACCTAGAGAGTATTATGCTGAGCAAACTAAGCCAGTTAGAGAAAGACAAATATCACATGATCTCACTCATATATAGAATCTAACGAACAAAATAGGTCCAGAAGTATGGATACATGGAATAGAATAACAGATCTCGGGAGGGGAGAGGGTGGGAGGGGACAGGAAGAGATTAACCAAAGAACATATATGCATACCAATGGCCACAGACAATAATAGCATGGTGAAGGTCTGAGATGGGGCAAAAGGGAGAAAATGGGAGACATCTGTAACACGGTCAACAATCTGAAAAATGCAAATAATCAGGGTGCTTCCTTTATCCCTAGCTGCTAGTGCACATTAAAAAAGTTCACTGTGCTCTCTCTTGCAAGTAAATATCAACATGCTTGCTTTGAAACTAATTATAACCAGGGTTCCCCAGTTTCTCTGGAAGAAGGAACCCTTCTTCTGAAGCTTTCCACCTCATTTAGATCTAGCAGCTGGCCAAACTTGTTGGATGACAAAACAGGAAATCTCTATGAAATTGTATACAGTAATGATATCGTAGAATTTCCAAAGACAATCTTTAATACTGGTCTGTTGATACAGAAGATTTATATAATCCACTGACTTGATTAGTAACTTGTCACCTAGTTTAGCTGATATAAAGCGAGGTCTAGTGTAAGTTTCACACTTGGAATTTAATTAAGAAGAACCTAGGCCTAAACTTATGAAGGCAAAAAGAAATTCAATCGAATGTTTCACAGGTGTTTGCCTGCTTCATGAACCCACTTTAAAGGTGGCCACAAGTTGCAAGATAATTGTTTAGAATAGTGTAAAGCAGCGGTTCTCAACCTGTGGGTCGCGACCCCTTTGGCGATCGAACGACTCTTTCATAGCGGTCGCCTAAGACCATCCTGCACACCAGATATTTACATCACGATTCATAACAGTAGCAACATTACAGTTATGATGTAGCAACGAAAATAATTTTATGTTTGGGTCAACACATGAGGAGTCTGATTGGGGCATGTGTAGTTCTCAACCTTCCTAGTGCCGTGACCCTTTAATACAGTTCCTCATGTTGTGGTGACCCAACCATAACATTATTTTCGTTGCTACTTCATACCTGTAATTTTGTTGCTGTTATGGATCGTAATGTAAATATCTGATATGCTACATGTGTTTTCCGATGGTCGCGACCCACAGGTTGAGAACCGCTGATCTACATGTTCTCTCTTCCTCCTTCCACATATAAACCTCAACGAAGCACAGAAACCTAAAAGTTGACAGAAAACTGAAATTTTCCAAACAGCCTTATTTTACATAGTAGAAAACACAGTCCAGTAGATTTTCCAGTTCATACTGTATCATACACTGGGTTTCAGTGGGTTACACTGGGGTGATATGGTGGCATCGGCTGTTCTGATCAGAGGGCCCCAAGCCGTTCTCTGAAAATGCTTCAGTCTCTGCATCAGGTTTCCCTTGCAGACATCCTTCATACTACGCACTTGTAAAAATTTCTCCTTAATCATTCATTGTCTACCTAGTCATTCATTGTAAAAAATGAGTTGTAAAAATGAGTTTGAAATGAGCCATTAATAACTGGCTATTATAAGCTAAACTGTGTCCCTCATAAAGGTATCTAGAAGTCCTAACTCCTACTACCTGTGAATGCCATCTTCAGAAATAGGGTCTCTGCAGACGTAATCAGTGAAGATGAGGTCTTGGGGGTGGGCACTAACCCAGCAGGACTGGCGTCCTTGTAAGAAGAGGAAACTGGGACGCAGAGAGATACGAGGGATGTGCAGACGCAGAGGACAGACCATTGCGGACGCAGCCAGAAGGCAGCCCCCTGCAAGCCAAGAGGGGCCTCAGGAGACACCCACCTGGGGCTTCTCCCATTCAGAATTGTGAAGAAATGAGTTTCTGTGCTTAAGCCTCCCAGTCTGTAATATTTGCATGGCTGCTCTAGCAAACTGATACAATGACAGGAATTCTGGGAGAGGATGGTAAAGAGGTGAGGCTTCAGTGGGCAAGGGCCAGAATACAAAGGGCCATGTACATGCTGGGGAAATTAGATGTTAGCCTGATGACAATGATAGAGGCATTGAAGAATTAAGCAGAAGAGAAATCAGAATTGTGTTTTAGAAAAAGCCCCTTAGAAGGAAGTTTGGAAGACAGACAAGACCAGGGAAAAGGAAGACCAGAAAAAAAGGCTATTAGAAGCAAGAAGGCATGAGTTTTGAAGTAAGGAGAAGGAGCAATTTCAGAAACATTTAAGAGGGGAACAAACAGACCTGCTTGGGGGGTGGGTTGTGAGGAATGAGGAAGACAGAGAAGTCAGAGCAACTCCAGGATGGGTTGAGTGATGCCATTGACCTGTGTCGGGAACCATGGAAGGAGCACCTTTAGGGGAAAAGACAGTAAGATCAGCTATGGACACAAGATGCCTGTGAGTTTTATAACCGCAGCACAGAGGAAACCAGAGTGGTCCTGGAGGTCAGAAGAGAAGACAGAACTCTTGAAAGTGGGCAACACTCAGTTCAAAACAAGAGGCCATGTGATCACCCAGGAGGAGGTGTCATGAGAAGACAAGGAGGCTACCAACAAATCCCTGGGGAAACTCTAGCATTTAAAGGTTTTAAACTCCCTCCCAAAAAATGATGGCCAATGTGACTGTAGAAATGCATGGGCAGTGGAAACTGTCCAGTTATAGGATGGAGCCAAAAGAACCTGAAATGGAATTTTTACCTTCCATGAACTATACACAGAGGTGGGGAGGTAGGATGAGTCACACCGCAAATGATGGTTTTCAATATGCCCTACAATTGTTTATGTATGTGAACATTCATTTCAACCTAAAGATGGTTCGCTACTTCTCATTCTGAAAAGTATCCCAGTATGTAATTTTAACCTTAATTTACTTCATAATTTCAATACAACACTAAATTTTCTATTTTCTTTTTGCACAAAAACCCAAACAAGCCAACAAGACACAAATATATAACCACCAAGCCATAGCTCAAAAAAAGGCCAATCTATATTAGTACTGGTGGATGCTTTTCAAAATTTGGAGGACGTACATGTTGAAAAAAAATTAATGTATATGGAAAAAAATAAAGCCTTCTTATGAGGCAAGACTTGATGTCAGCTCTTGCAACATATCACTGTCCATGCTTAATAGCTTTGCATATAAGTAACAAAAAGAATTTACTATACCTGATTTTTAACACTGGCGTATCTTTTTAGGTGTTTTATAAATTCCGGTCGAGAAGTGTTCCGTGCAATTATAAGAGCCATACTTCCATTATTTAATCTGAAATTAAATATTTGTATTTGACATTAAGTTTATTAAGAGATTACATCAGAATTGACTCTATATCAATCTTTCTAAAAATATATAACGTTTAATAGAAGTTTGAGGCAAGAGAGATAAATCATCATATTAAATCTATTTAAAATTCTTAAATCATATTTTGCTGTTATTTTTTAAATGACACAGCCTTTCAAAAATGCTTTTATTAAACAATTGCCTTCCTTCTCAGCAAGCTCTTTGGTTCGGGACTTTTTATAAAATGAACCATCATGCACCCTATCCGTATATCAAGATGTAAGTTAAAATCCAATGTATTTCCTTAAATCCAATGTATTTCTGCGTGTGAAATCACGTTTTCTAAGGATGTATTGTAAAATAGTTATGTACCAGTGGTGTAACAAACAGCCCAACACTTTCTAAAATCTAACGTTGATTTAAATATTTATTTATGGGCAGGTCTAAGTGACACAGGAAACTAAATCAAACTGGCCCTTGTACGGGTGACACGAAATGAACAAATGCTGCCACACATCTTCGGTTAAATGACTGAGCATTTTAATCTTGCAGAGCTGTTTGGTTCAATATAAAAGAGACTGTAAATTTAGCATGTGTGATTCAGTGCCAAAAGAGCCACTCACATATGTATGTAGCTTAGAAGGTCATTTGCAGAAATAATGTGAATGACTTCTAGCTCAATTTCAGTGGAAATACAAAGTTGTTCCAAGAATAACAACAACAACAAAGAGCTCTTTAAATCTATGGACGCTCAGGTTAGAGCTATATGGGACGTTGGAGATTATCCGTCATTCACTCAGTTTATGTAGAAGGAAAAGAAGAGCCCAGGCTTAAGTGATTGTTCAGAGGCACACAAAGAAAAAATGATCAGAGAACCAGCGCTCTTAATTCTCAGAGCTCAGTGCTTCGACTTGTCATGCCATCTCTTCCCAACTGAAAATAAACAACACTGAAACAGTACTTTCTAATGTGCTTAATTTTTACTCATAATCATTCTAGTTAAATATTTTGGAGGGAAGTTGAAACTAATCATGACAATAATGTTATAGATTGCCAAAGTACATTAGTCATTCTTTTATTCCACCTCCAGGGAAAATCCAGATTTGACTACATTATACAACATTCACGATCTTTTCTTCTATGCTCTAAGGAAAAGGGAGAGAAATTTTCATACCAATAATGGACAAGCACTGAAAAGAATGTGCAAGAGATGGAATATCTGTATCTTATGGATAAAACAATATATAAAATGTCTCATGATATTTTATATAAAATGTGGGCAGTAGATTTTTATTCACATGTACCATTATTCACATTAAGTGTAACAAAAATGTTTCTTTTGATTAAAGGTATCAAATATACACAAATACATGCTTTGCATGCTACGGGTATTTGTGTCTGCACTAAAATTGGAAACCAGAATTAAATATAATATTCTCAACAACCGGTAAATAAACCTAAATAAATAAAGCAAGCAAAGTGACATAAAATAACATAATAGAATCATGTCAATAAAACCCAAGGAATATTTTACCCTCAGTGATATTTAATAAATCAAAGTAACTGATCATGATCATTTTTTCCAGTTTAACAGCTGTTCTGAACCTACTCTGAGGACGAATTCCTGAAAATCTCTGATATTAAACAGTCAAGGACAGAATACCTCTTCATAATATTCTAGCTTGCCAAGTTTGGGGGCAAGAAGGGGCAGGTATTCTGAAAGAAAATCTTGGTTTATAGGAAAGTATTAATGATTCAATAAAAACACTTACTCACCTGGTATCAGGTGCCAAGCCTCTAGGTGCCACTGAACACAGGCAAGGAATTGCCATAATGCTGACATTCAGGAACTGACCCTGGATCATTTGCCACTGATCATTGCCGTCTAAAGACAGGAAAGGGACAGTTACCTTCCCTCACCACAGCAAAATGGCACTAGAACCTGCATCAGTTCTCAAGGAGATACTTCTAGACTCACCAGATTTGGGAGATCCCTGTGCCCTCCTAAAAATAAGAAAACAAAGGGGAAATATAATGACAAAAATAACATCTATTAAATATGAGAAAATTACAGACTCCTACATTATATATATTAAATGTTTTCTTATATTAGACAGTAAATAAAAATATATGAATAATTCCATTACTAAATTATATTCCATTGATTCATTTCTAGGTAGCATCACCAGTAAAAATGACTTTCATTTTTTTAAAAGACTATAGCACTTCCTTTGTGTGACTTTGATTAATATTTGTACTCCATGCCCAACAAACTCTCATGACGACAAAAACTATGGGTTTTGTTTACTTGTCTATTTTTTTGTCTCATGTATCCAACGTGCTTGGAATATATTAGGCACTCAATAAACAGCTGTTGGGTGGATGGATGGAATGAATTAATGGTTGTATCTGGAGACAGAAACCAGACTACATGGCCTACTAGAATCTGTAAGACTCCATGAGTCTATATTATTCACTAGTATGTTAGAAAAGCAACCAAAGATCACAATGTAACCAACTGCTTATATCGAACTATTTTATGCTTTAAAGAAAGATACAGATGTAGATGTTGCTTTGAGCTTTCTACCTACCTTTCTTGTAAATCTGGAGAGCTGTTAAATGGTAAAAATGATATTTCACAGTCCTCTGGCCTAAAATACAATGAAATTTGTTATTAACACTCACTGATTCTGAGATAAAAGATTCTTGGTTTAAGGGAAAAAAACGACTTACTTAAGTTTTGCCAGTGCCTTAATTACAGCAAAATCCCTCCGTTGGGTAGGGGACATCCATCGATGTTTTTCTGCCAGAGCCAAAGTCCTCCCACCAAAGCCAAACATGGCCGAGAACCCGAAGCGAAGAAGCTTGCCAGTGGTGCTGAAGGTGCAGACATCGACCGGTTGTATGTGCCCTTGAATATTATATTAAATATTACTCAACTGCGCAAGGGCGCCAGGTGTCAACATGGCAAACACAGAAGAGCACATTTATTTACTTTCAGGTCTCGAGCTACTGTATACCATAATGAATATCTTTGCTTTCTCTCCATCTGTACCTACAACCACTGGAATTGCCATTTGAATCTTTTTTCAGGTTCTAAGGAAAGAAACACAAGGCAGTAGATTTTGCAGCTTATAGCTATTTCATATAAAGCATGGTTAGGATGTCTGAAAAGTAAACAGATTTAGCAGCAGCTTGGCATTGCATTTATCTGAGTGTATATGTTTCCCATCAACTGGGATATTAAAAGGTTGAGTGGATGTTCAGTGGCTGAAAAGTGTTATCATGTACTTTTCTTTTCTTTCTTTTAATAAAA